AAAAATAATGAGTTCCCATCATGTGTCAGATACTGGGCTAAGAACTAAAAGAAGAGAATACTTATTATGTATTGACTATGTGTCAAGCTGTTAAATGAAGTACCTATTTATGAATTATTTTTGAGATGGGGTCCCACTCTGTCGCTCAGGCTAGAGTGCAGTGGCACATTCATAGTTCATTGCACCCTCGAACTCCTGGCCTCAAGTGATCCCCCCCCACCTCAGCCTTCTGAGTAACTGGGATCATAGACAGGAGCCACTGCACTTGGCCTATGTCTAATTTAATCCTTACAGTTCTATGAGTATGGGGTTATTTTATCACCATTCACAGATGAGAAGACTGAGGTACAGACAGATTTGTGAATTTACAAAATTGGTAAGTGTCAGGGATTTACATATTGTCTTCATGGACTTAGTCTGCTGCATTCTTTATAGATCTGCCAGCCCTGGAAATACAGCTCAGCTTTCTTTCTGGAGGTCTTAGCCCCAGGAATCTTGACTGACAGCACCAATTGCAACAGCTGCTCCTAACTTACAGGACTGGCAGAAAGAGTACCAGTGTAAAGTCATTTCTGCCCAACAGGTGCCTTTAATGGGCAATTTTTGTTTGGGGAATCCCTATCCCTATTAATAGGAATCTGTATTCAGTTGCTCATAGAATCAGACACCTATCTGTCTGCCAATCTGAAACTATTTTGGTAAGTGGGAGGTACATATAAAGGTAAAACAGAATGGAAAGGTTGCTGAATACAGGAAAAAGTTGTATGTAGTAACATTAACACTAATATATTTAAAATAAGTTAACAGTAAACCAATTTATGCACACACAAAACACACACACATAAAACAGGCTTCTTTTGTATTAAGAAATGAAGCACTGTAAAATAGTTCTGAATTTGTGTTAGCTGTAGACTGCACTATTGAAAACTATTTTTCCTATATTTCTGTGTACATGTGTATGTATGTATTCCTTTCTTTCTTCCATTAACTGACAAGCCATGTTGAGGGGTTTTGGACCACCGCATTTCCCCTGTGTGAGGCACAAGTGCTGCTGTGTGTGTATATTTTTTGTATATTAGCCAATTTTTATCAATTCTTGTTTTTTATTAAATACATTGACTGTCCTTTCTAGGAAGGAAAGAAGGAAGGAAGGAAGGAAGGAAGGAAGGAAGGAAGGAAGGAAGGAAGGAAGGAAGGAAGGAAGGAAGGAAGGGAGGGAGGGAGGGAGGGAGGGAGGGAAGGAAAAAAGGAAGGGAGGGAGGGAGGGAGGGAGGAAGGGAGGAAGGAAGGGAGGGATGGAAAGAGGGAAGGAGGGAGGGAGGGAGGGAGGAAGGACAGACTGAGGCATTTTTAAATCTGGGCTGCAGTCTGTGGCTCTTCCTACATCATCCTTCCTACCTGCTCTCTCTTCATGGGTATATTGACCTGCAAGACCTGCATCTCCCTGCCTGCACTTGCTTTCGACCCCTTGGTCCTTCACAGGGCTTTCCTTTAATTAGTCCTTTGCATATCTAACCTCACCTTGGCAACTGCTTCTCAGAGAACCTAAACAGAGACAATACATATGAGACATGATTGCTGCCTCAAATAACTGAGTTCTTCTAGAGAAATGAACACATAACATTTTTAAAAATACAATTTGTTGTAATAACTCATATAACTATAGTAGATAAAAGCTTCTCGAGAATGCAGATAAGGAAACAACTATTCCCGTCTGGAGTAGAGGAATGTGTGTTAGGGAAAGGGGCAAGGAAATAATGACTTTTAGGTTGGAGCCCAGAAGAACTGTTAGAATGACAGGTAAGAGTATTTCAGAAAGAGATGATAACATCAGGAAGGACACAGAGGTATGAAAGTGTTATGTATGCTTAGGAAATAAGGTATTTTTCCATTCCTGGAAAATTGTTTCACTGAGGCAAAACACTTTTAAAACACAGATCAGCAAGGCATTCTTCATTTAGAGCTTCCAATTTCAAGGAACTTTCCAGTCTCAGTCTTCCCAAGAGCAAGGGAAGCATAAACTATTGCCAGCTGCATGACCCATCCCTCCTTTTCCCACTTTCCTTCATCCCTCCCTTCTATCTGCATGTATTGTATGTAACATGTGCCAGGCAGCAGACAGATCCTCAGAAAAAGATATATAGATTTAGATAAAAGTGTGACACAAAATGTTCTGAGAAAAATAGAAATCTACCGGGAAATAAAAGGCTTTCCGTGCCCCTACTATTTCCTTTCCAGGAGACAGAGAGAGAGAGAGAGGGAGAGAGAGACAGAGAGAGACAGAGAGCGACCAGCCTAGGTTAAACTATATGAGAATGAGGCCTAGTTAGTACTGACATCCTCTGCAATGAAGTATAATACTAAAAAGTGGTATTATAATACTAAATTGTGGATATAATACTAAAAAGTCTAAGGGATAGGTTTTTCTATCTCTTAGAAATTATTTCTATCCCTCAGTATTATTTTTACCTTGATGGATACATTCCTGCATTCCCAGGGATGTAGCTCACTGATTGTAGGAGGTGTGCTAGGTGCATATATTTCAGAAATACAGAAACACAAATGAGAAAATAAAAACCACTTACAATGAAAGTGGCCCCATTGTCCTATAGAAATAATACTTATGGGTTTTTAAATAAACATAGAAATCGCCACTTCTGATCTTAAAACTTGAAATTTACATTTGTCTCATCTGAGTTCCTCCCTCAGGAAACTGATCCTCAGGTAAGGCACAGAAGCTCACCAGATCACCACATCCAGACAATGAGATGCCAGACCCCTCTTCCTCCTGATTGCTTCTTTATCCTTTCCTAATTCCTCTTTTACGTTCCTTCCCCGCTTGTGTAAACTCCCCAATTTTAGTCAGATGGGGAGATGAGTATGAGGCTGATCTCTCATTCTCCTAGGCTGCAGCACCCGTACAGGGCTTCTTCCCTGGCAGTATTCATTTTCTCAGTAACTGGCTTTCTGCCTCACGAGCAAGGGGACCCAGATCAAAAACCTGGCATCTCAGTAACAATGCCATGGCCTAGGGCCATCTATGTGCATATGGATATGTTTGATATAAATGTTTCACAGCATGGAACATTTTATAAACTGTTTGTGTTACTTAATACTGTATAATGAAGTCTTCCTACAATTAAGAAAATTTCTCCTACTTCAATTTCTGAAATATTTTTCTTTTTATTCTCTGCTCTTTCTTTCTTTCCCTCACTTTTCTTCCTCTAATTTTCTCTTAAATCTTGAAGTTTCCTTGGACTGACATTTTTCTCTACTCATTCAACCTAGTCTTTTTTATTTTTATTTTATGTTTTTTTGAGACAGAGTCTCACTCTGTCACCCATGCTGGAGGGCAGTGGCACAACTGCAGCCTCTACCTCCTGGGCTCAAGGAATCCTCCCACTTATGCCTCCCTAGTAGCTGGTACTACAGGCATGTATCACCACACCTGGCTAATTTCTTTGCATTTTTTTGCAGAGACAGGGTTTCACCATGTTGCCCAGGCTAGTCTTGAATTCCTGGGCTCAGGCGATCTACCTACCTCAACCTCCCAAAGTGCTGGAATTATATGTGTGAACCACTGTCCTGGCCCTCAACCTGGTTTTCAGTGTGTCAGGGTCATCATTCCATGATGTCCACTGCTGCCCATGCACCAATATCTCTCCTTCAAGATTGCCCTCATCAGCTCCAGGCCTATGTTTTCTCGGTGCCCATTAAACATCTCAAGTTGTATATCTGACATGTAACTCAAACTCAATTCATCAGAAACCGAACTCAGTTCATGACATGACCCTCAAACCAGTTTCTGCTAAAGACTTGTTTTGATTTTTAGGAAGCATTGGTTAAATACTGAAGCCAAGAGGCTATTATTCTTGAATTTTCCCTCTTTCTTACTCCCAGTATCCAACAGTCACTAAGGATGACCTTTTCTACATGCAACCATCTCTCCCATGGTTTTGTAAAAACATCAAAGGGAAAGAGGGTGAAGGCCAAATTTATTTGTCTGACTTTTTTAACATGGAGAAATATAAGAAATATTTATAGATAGCAAGAGAAGAAGCTAGTGATAACAATGAAATGTACAATAGAACAGAAGGTAAAAAGATAAGGCAAGTTTCCTAAGAATGTGCGTATTGAAATCTTAGAATAGTTGTAAGAACCTGAAGGAAAAAATGTAAGGATGGTCAAAATCTATATTTGAGGCCAGCTTGGGAGGACACTGAAGGAGTTCATAATTCATTTAATTCTCAATTAGGTCACCTGCTAAAAACGAAAGAAAGAAAGGGGTGAAAGTGGGGTCATTTGAAAATATTTGTTGTGGCCATTTGATCTTGAACATTAGTGGATGGAGCTTAGTAGAGGTAAGCAATTATCTGTTTGCATGTTCATATTCGTCTTCTATATCCATAACCATGCTTGGAATACAGCAGGCCCTCAGTAAATATCATATAGTTTAAGCTCCATGGTGGCAGAAACCAGGTCTTATTCATATAAATGTCCTCAGCAAGTAAAATTGTGCCTAGTCATTGTAGAAACTCAAGCCAAAAGAATGAATTGCTCTATAGAAAATTATATAAAAACATTATCAGCCACATTCTCCGAAACTGGAAGCTTCTCATATTATCCCCTTAAGTTGAAGTTTATTAGAAAGAAACAAACACAATTCATGTTAATATCAACAATTCCTTCATTCAAATAATTCTTAGAATAATTGGTATCATTAAAAAGTAATTTCCTTATGCTTATTGGCAGTATTGCACAGTGGAAATAAATGCTAGAATTATAGCACAAAGCCATGAATATGCTTCAATTTTCAAGAATTATACGAAAATATTCATTATACTTTAGTTATCCGAGACAAGAAACTGAGCCACTTTTCCTTTAAAATACTTAAAATATTTCTTGTAGATGTAAAAACAACTAAGAAAAGCTCCTAATAAATTCTCAGAAAATATATTTTATGTAAGTTTAAAGTTCCCCACATAAACAATTAGTTCTACCTTGACTCTGTCTGTGCGGTTGTTGAAAAGTCCGATCCGTCTAATGGTGCTGAGGATGGGGTCGGTGGAGTCATCAATCATGTTGTGCGTGGTCACTGGGGGCAATGACTGTCGCTGAAGTATGAGAGGGAAGGAAATGTCAATTGCAGAAAGAATTAATAAGGGTGACTAATTTCAACAATAAGTCATTGACATTTCATCCAACCTTCACACCTTCAGTCTTTTGAGACGGCACTAATGATGATGACTAAGTCTTGTGTGTCTTTCAAAGGAAGATATGGGTTGAAAAATCTCCTTTGCATACTATGAACACATGAAGCTTTTGCTTTCCCCCTGCAACTACTATATGAGAGACCTGGACTTCCTGACTGCTTCCAGGACTTATTTGGAATATAAAGGTGTCCTGAAGTCTTGACTTAAGATGAACTTTACTGATTTCTTTCAGCAAGGCTGTCCTCCAGTACCTGATTCTTCCCTATTATAACAAGCATTTTGATGCAAGTCTAACACATTTGTTTTATCTCTTTTGTAATAATTCCACTCGACTAAGAAATACTCTTTTCTCTAATGTGACTCAAATTCTAAGTTTTGGAAATATTTAGGACTTTTTTGTAATTACTAAACTATACATGATTTTTATAATGAATATATTGATTCAAAAATAATTTTGTAAGTGAGTGGAAAGACAAATTTCATGAGTTTTTTTAAGGAGTCCTTAAAACCACTAATGAAAAAATGTCCAAAGTAATCATTTAAGTGACTATGTAAGAATGTCTTTTTTAGCCTCAGGTCCAAAAATGTTCCAAATTAGCACATTCCAATAAATTAAAATACTGATTAGATAGAATTTTATAACTATGGGACACGGTAGGTGCTTTTTTCCTTATTACCTGAGTTGAAAAGATGGCTCTTTTCATAATTGTTAGATCATCTCGATCTAAAATATTGTTCATGTCAGGAATTTCTCCTCTGCAGGGAAAAAATGTTAATAACAAGAATAAAAACAGCTGGCACTAATTCAGTGATTCCTAAGCATCAGATTATATATTATACATTTCATGTATTTTAATAAATAATGTTGATTATTCTATTAAGTAAATGTATTCATATAGACTTAATATTTAAGTACATATTTAATACACATTGTCAATATATATTTTGAATTAAAATCTCATGAAGTCTCCCTCAGCTTCAGACTGACATATCAACCCTTAATGAGTTCATCATTGAATTAGAACTTGCCTAAATGTAACTGTGTTCTTATTTGTACAGCTGTTTACAAGTTTTGTCAAATGAAGGATAAAACACTGTTCACATGACATAACACACTTTCAAAGATTAATTCCTTTATATTTGGAACAAAATTAACATGTTATGATATCTAAATTGTTAAGTTTGAATCGTGAAGCCTTGAGTGATTGAAGTACAAAGCATTTCAAGCACCTACCTTAATAATGCATCATAGAGTTTTTTTCCAAACTTTTCCTTCACAGAATGTGCAATGTCCCTGTTTGAAACAGAAAGATTTATCATTTAAACAGTATGACAATGTTTAATCTTTATTTGTTATGATAATACTATTGTTTTGTTGACATTCTTTGATATTACATTCTTTGAAATTACAGGTATCTTTTTTATAGTCTCTTCTGTTATTTTGCTACTTGCCAATTCAGCTTAACTTGACATCTCCGGAGCTGAGGCAACAGAACACCATGGCCAGCACAAAGTGCTTAAATTTTTTTTTGCTTCATGATGATCGGAACAGGGTAGAGAGCAGAGAGGGGGAGTAGACAGATGCATAGATGTAACAAGACGGGAATTCATTGATCATTGTTGAATCTGAACTATGAGTATAGAGGGGGTCATATTACTAAGCTTTTTGCTTGACATGTTTTTAGAATTTCACACACAAAAAAGCTAAAAAATGTTTGACTCATCTTTAAAGATTTCTACAGGGCCTTGTTCCTTCAATAGTAGCTCATTCCAAAATTTGTATAACACCTATAATGTTATAAGCATTATAATAATCTAAAATAGTAGCACGATGAAAAGAGAGTCAAGTATTATCTGTCTGTAATAATCTAAAGGAAAAAACAAAGTTCAAGGCGATACATGAGATATCATTCACTTAAAAGAAATCTTTTTACATTTATTGCTTGAGAACATTCACAGGACATGAGATTACCACAGTTGTTTTCGCACTGCTTGTCCTTTCAGGGTTTCCACATTGAAATTATTTGTCTTGGCAGGCATAATGAAAAACACCACCACTGTGACGTCACTTTTATGCATCTGATGAGGAATTAGTAAACACAACAGAGTCAACTATCAAAGATTTTTTAAAAGTATGATAGATTGAACTTACACATAGAAAAGTAGTGTTTTAAATACCAGTAGATAAAAGGAATAGTTATTATGATTCACAGACAAATTATATTCACCTTCCTGAGACTTTTTCAGAAATTTTAATTAAAATTAACATTTAATTAAACATTTAATTAAATTTTCAATTTTCAGTCAGTATTTGTCAATGAACAAATTGACTTTCAATCAGTATTTGTCAATTAACAGTTTGAAAATTCAAACAGATTATTTTCACGCCTTTGACAATCTAGAATAGATAACAATTGCTATTGATAACACTGCGCTTTTCTGTGGTTAAAAAAATAGCATGAATGAGAGCTAATATTACAAGACCAAAATTAATTCTTTAAAATTTCAGATTGGAAATTTAATGAAGATTTAAGCTTTGGTAAAAGCTAAAATAATATTTAAATTTTTTTGCTTATTCACATTGATTGATGACAAATAGATTATTCACATTTTTCTGCTAAATGTCTTGATTCTCATGATGTTGTATTTTGGTTTTTAGCCCTAAAGTAAAGAAACAAGCACATGCTGAGCACTGTGCTGGGGTGCTTTAAATATACTACCAATAATCATGTATAATAGGCATTTCTCTCCTCATTTGATTAATGTCAAAAGAAAGGAATGAGAGGTTAAATATTTTGTCTGAGTTCCTACAACAGGTTAGTGCCAAAGCTGACATGTAAACTACTGGCTTAGCATCTCTCGAAAGGAAATGACTTATTAAGAAGCTATAAGAATGAAAGCATAAACTCACTTAAAATCATGCACATCTAAGAAGTTTTATGTGTTCTGGAAATGACTGACTAGCTCCAAAGTGTGGGGCACTTTACCATCTGGTACGTAGCTTCGGCTCTCTGGGGCCTGATATTTTATTAGGGAAAGCTACTAAAGGCATACAATAGGAAACTCACCCTAGGACCAGCCAATGTGCTATCAAAGAATAAATGTACTATGTGGAAAGAGAATTCCTTCTTTTAACTTCTCCAAGTATTGCACTTATGTTTTCTGTCTAGTATAATGGTAATCAGTCTTTTCTTCAAATCTATAAATAAAGTGAATATTTAATAATTATATAAATACATTTATTAATAATGTCCCTAAAGACTCTGCATATTTGATGTAGTTGTGAGTCCATTATAAAGCTTGTTGAATGAATATATACTAGGAAAATATGAAGTAAGATTATTTAAGAATAATCTTTTTAGCCTTCAGTTCTATTTTGCAGAGTTGGACTTTATTAATGAATTGCTTGCTTATTAATGTGACTTTAGTAAATTTTTTTAGCATATTTGGTATAATGTCTACTCTAAAGCAAAAAATGTATGTCTGAGAAATAAAAATTTAACTCGAGTGTAGTAGAAAACTCAGGAAAGTTTAGATTTTCTCATTATCTCATTAAAATTGAAATTCTACACTCCTCTCCTGTGAATATTTTCCTATTACTTATTCTGTATTTTTATGTGATTGGGATTGGAATTGGAATATAAACCAATAGCTCCCATCAATACCTATGACATGGTACCATTTTTTTTTATAGTTGCTTCTATTTATGCATATTGTATTGCCCAGTTAGTTGAGAACCCACTTTGTATCCCACCTTCCTGAGTGAAAAAATGATTTCACATTGTTGGGAGTAAGAACCTTCTTTTTCCTCCTTCATGCTTTCATGTGATGTGACATCCACTAGTTCAACAGTTTAAGACTCTCAGTCGCAGGAAGGAGGTGTGGCTGGGGAGGTGAGTGAACCAAGTGTGTGTGTGTCTGCCCTGTTCTATAGAGAGTTAGAGACGTCTGGTTTGACTGCCAGCTATGTGGCACATGCTTCAGTTGGGGGAGGAGAGTGATGGTCAGAGCTTCCTATGATTAAATGGCTAAGAGTAATAACAAGGTTCAGTATTAGGATGCCTACTGCCATGTGCATAAGCCACATCTTCCATTATAGTCTTCAATGATTTTTTTGAAAATTAATAATTTGCTCTCCATCACTTGATTTCTCTATACTAATTTTTCAATTGATTACAAACTCATGTGAGGTAAAAGGGATGTTATAATGACTTCTTAAAATATAGCATATATAATGGGATAAGCTTAGGCTTCTCCTAAAAAAAAAAAAGACAACATTATAGACAAATAGACAAGTCAACACTGTGGCAACTCCAATATGTAAACTGAAAGGCTGAAGCCATTTTGGGAATACTATTATCATTTATTGTCTTGAAAACTATTCTTCACTTCCCACAGAAGAAAGTTCTCCCTACAAGGGTGTTGTATCATGTCCTAAAGCTTTCTTACCCTCAGCAGGAAATTTAGCCTGGATAAGGATTCTAGGAAGATGTCAGCTCCTTTGTTTGAAAACTCATATCTCCCAGCAATGAAAAGGAACAAAGTCTTTTCAAGATCAAAGTCCAGATGACTAAAACAAAACAAAACAGTTTCAAATGAAATACAGCAATAGTAACAAAATGTACACAAGAATTCTGTTAATGTGCAAAGGGGGCTGGGAGAGATAAACATTTACTATTACAATTCTGTTTTCTCTCTACCAAAGATCCCTCATATCTGATCCTTCTTTTCTTTAATAAAGAAAATCATACCCATAGAAATGACCTCGAACAAAATCTTGGATTCTGGCCTTGTACATGGCATGTAGATTTTGAAACTCATGCACTGCTGAAAATTTCTTAACATTCAAGCCATTTGGAGTAACTACATCTAGAAAAGTAAAACAAAATTATTATTAAAATTCTCTTTTCAAAGAGGGTACATTGTAGAAATAAGTATCTTTAAAACTATAAAGCTAGATGTTTATTAACATTCTACTTTCTGACTACCATAAAAAGTAAAATTTATAAAACTTCCAGTTCATAAAAAGTTCATAAAAATTCACAACAAATTTTGTCTATTGATTGAAATAGGAAATCAGAAATGCCTGACCAAAATAACAATGAGGGACTGGTACAATGAAACAGGTTAATCAATAGCAATAATAATTGTTATTATAGTATTCATTTATTGATTATTTAATGCGCACCAGGTTTTGCTTTAAAGACTTACAGTGTAACTCAATCTCTTCAACAAACCAAAGGAGTGAGTGCTCTTATCTGCATTTTCAGAGGTGGAAACTCAGGCACAGAGTTGTTCAAAGACCCTGTCCAAGAGCACACGGCTGGTAAGTCGAAGCAGAATCCATGCAGTCTGCCTCCACATAGTGTTTCCTTAACCCTGCACTAAACTGCCTCCTGCCATCTTGTTTTCCACACGTGTATGGGACACCTTTTGTACATTTGGAAAATTGGAAAAGGCAGCCTCTTACTTCTAATTTCCATTCTTATTTCTATTTCTTATTTCTAACACAACTGATGCATTCTTCCCAGGAGATTCTGTTGCTCAGGCAGGAAGACATTCTTGGTTTTCCAAATAGTGGTCTGTGACAAGAAACAGAGGGACCACTCATAGCATATGATGGAAACTACCTACTGAGTTGAATACATGGGTTATCACATTTAGTAGCATAAAAGCAAAAGCAAGAAAAAAGAAGCTATGTTAAAAAAAAATTTAGCACAGGGCTCTGGAGATTTTTGTAATTTTAAGAATCTTTTCCAGCCTGGCCAACATGGTGAAACCTCATCTCTACTAAAAATACAAAAATTAGCCAGGCGTGGTGGCAGGCACTTGTAGTCCCAGCTACTGCAGAGGCTGAGGCAGATGAATCGCTTCAACCCAGGAGGCAAAGGTTACAGTGAGCTGAGATCGTGCCACTGCACTTCAGCCTGGGTGAAAGAGCAAGATTCCATCCCAAAAGAAAAAAAAAATCTTTTACAGTTAACTGCCTATTTTCTTGATATGGTTCCACAAAATCAATCCAGGCTTTTTGGTCATTTTTTGTGGAAAATAAAAACTTACTGATTTTTATGAGTTTTTATTAAGTAATCTGACATTTGTTATACTCTTTTACATACCTGGCCACCGTAGAATCAATTTTAAGTAGCAAACGTTTCCAGTGAAAGCTTTCATGTAATTCCTAAATGAACTATATAATGTGATTCATATAGTATGACAATTACATCTTAAAATGTATTTATCTTTCTATAGCAATTACGTAGGGCTCATTTTGTGCCAGGCCCTATTACATTTGACATATAATAATTTTTTAAATTCCCTATGAGGTAAGTTGTTTTCACTGTCCCCATTTTACAAATGAAGAAACCGGCCTACAGAATATTAAGTCATTTGGTCAATGTCAAGTGAGTGCAAAGTAACAGAGGCTGGATTTAGAACCAAAGCAGCCTGGCTCAGGAGTCTCTGCCCTTTTGACGCAGTGGTGTCATACAACTGTACCATACAAAAAGCTATAGAAGGCAAGAATGTATGTGGATACCAGCTTATTATGGATTGTAATCCTCAGCAATTTTCTAAATTGTTTCGAAGACAATTATAAAAAAAGATCTGTGTCCTGAAATTGTCTGTTTATTAGCCTAAGGAGTTAGGCCAATGAGGTCTTCTAATATCCATATTAATAACAGAATAATCTCATATGCACAGGCCTATGTGCAGTCATATGCTGGTAAAATTTAACAAAAAGTACTCCAGGAAAAAGAGAGAAAAAGAGAAAGAGAGAGACAATTTTAGTATTTCCCTTTCTCCAAGATATAAATATTCCCATCATGACTGATTTCAAGCTACCAATGTAAGTGCAGAGTTGGGAAGAAAAGTGCAGTAACACCATTATAGTATTTCCATCCATGAAATATATATATGGATGTTAATGCACCATTATATAGGTTATAGGTTTTAGGTTATTTTTATATAATGGTGCAGTAACATATAATGGTATTACTGCGCCATTATATAAAAATAACCTAAAATCATAGTAAAATAACTAAGAAATGATGTTAAATTAGTTAAATTAGTTTGATTAGTTAAAATTAATTAGTTCATATAATAGAATATGAATAGGTTTTCTCTGGAAAAGAGATCTTTCCCTGGAAGCAACATTGGTCACTAATTTCTTGCTATTGTTCCCAAGTATAAGACAATGTCAATGTTACCCACATTTCTGATGTTAGGCAACACCAACACAAAGGAAAAACATTGACTAAAGGATGGTATTAGCTAGAGTTCATATTAAGGTATTAGCATGGGCTCAAAAATCAATAATTGCAACACTATTAATGATTATATTAAAGGGAAAATGACAAATTTTTTAAAGCAACACAGGATATTTAAGGCAAACGTTGTATTCAGTTTTGTATCTGTAATTAGTAGATTTATAATACTGCCTTCCCTCCAATATTTTAAAGAAAATACCACCTTTTCAACATCCTAAATTATTTTGAGTCAAATTTATGGCAAAAGCATAATGATACAGTAGTAAATATAAGCTTTTGCCAAAGATTATATAGTGATATTTTGAAAAATATCTGGTCCCATGCATGTTTTTGATCTAGTCAATTTGTCTCTTGCTCTGTAGTTGTGCCCTCAGCATTAAAAGTAATGGCTCTAGTTAAACTTTTATTTGGGGAGGACTTCAAGAAAAACCAAGGAATACGAAGTCATAGTTACTCTATGTGATCCTTTTTTTTTTTCAGAATGCTCTTGGGAGGGTTTATATATTTACTGATCTACTGAAAGTCCATTGACCTTCCTGAGCCACAAAATGTTCAGAGATTTCACAATTTCCATCAGAGCCACCACATGATTCTACTGCAAGTCTGAAGAAAACCAGATTGCAGTGTTTACAGTTTCTGGTAGAACTTCCAGGTAAAGCTAGTTTGTGGGCACTCAGTAATAGATGAGAACTTGACAGTGATCCACAAAAAATAATAATTGTTGATATTTTCTAAATCTTTACAATGGACCAGGCACTGAGCTGAGTTTTTTCCATATGTCAACTCTCAATCATTGCAACAATTCTAGATAAGAGAAAGGAATTTTTTTTTTTTTTTTTTTTTTTGAGATGGAGTCTCGCTCTGTCGCCCAGGCTGGAGTACAGTGGCCGAATCTCAGCTCACTGCAAGCTCCGCCTCCCGGGTTCCCGCCATTCTCCCGCCTCAGCCTCCGGAGTAGCTGGGACTACAGGCGCCCGCCACCTCGCCCGGCTAAGTTTTTTGTATTTTTTAGTAGAGACGGGGTTTCACCATGTTAGCCAGGATGGTCTCGATCTCCTGACCTGGTGATCCGCCCGTCTCGGCCTCCCAAAGTGCTGGGATTACAGGCTTGAGCCACCGTGCCCGGCCTAAGAGAAAGGATTATTATCCACATTATGCAGATAAGACACAGAGAGCTTAAGCAACTTTTATAATGTCACACAGCTAGTAACGTATACTCAAAATCATTTTTGATACTGAATACAGGCAGTTTGGCAAAAAGCTCATGCTTTGACCACTACTCTGTAGCTATATTCTTAAGAAAACAAACATTTAAGAAAATAGTGTATAGAGAAAGCAGGACCCAGAATACAATCTTGGAGAATTTCCACTTTGAAAACTAAAAGAAAGTAGAAAAACGATTAGAAGCACCAGAAAAGATTATACTGGAAAGAAATTAGAATGTGCGGTGTCATGAAAAATAATGGAAACATGTTGACCACCTTTAAATGCTAGAGAATATAAAGAAAAATAAAAAACATTAGATAACCCTGAATTTGATGATTTTTGGAAAAGCAATTTTAGGCCAGAGTTGGAGGTTGGAAGCCAGAGTCCCAGGGGCTAATGAGTAAGTGAACCTAGCAATTATGGTTTACTCTTACAAGATATTTGGCAGCAGGAGAAAGGAGGAGATGGTATGACATTTGGCACGGTAGCAACCTCAAGAGAAATTTTCATTTTAGAATAGGCAAAAACAAAGAAGTATTTCTGTGAGCTCAGAAAAAGATACTGTAAACAGGAAAAAGGAATATCCAAGAGAGAAACAAGCATATTGATGGAATAAACTCCCTAAAGAAGAATGGGAGTAAGAATCCAAGTGAATCCAAGAGAATCCTTGGAAAGAAAAATGCTACCATAGGTTCTTAATGCTTCACTATTCAAATTAGTTGGGTTCTCGTTCTATATTGTTTTTTATTTTTTTGTTTGTTTTAATCTAGCACCTTGAAATACCTCCTCTACACATTCTGCTATCTGAAAGAAGGACAACTAGAGACAAGATGATAGGAATTAAGCAAGGAGGATATATTAATTAGGATGGTTTGGTTGCAAGCAATATAAACCTACTAATGCTTGCTTAAGTATAGTAACAAGGAATTTATTAGTAGGATGCCGGAGTGCCTCACGGCAAAGATTTAGCTGAGCCTTAGGAATGATTTTTAAAAGTGGTTGAAATTAGCCGGGCGCGGTAGCTCACGCCTGTAATCCCAGCACTTTGGGAGGCCGAGGCGGTTGGATCACGAGGTCAGAAGTTCAAGACCAGCCTGGCCAAGAGAGTGAAACTCTGTCTCCACTAAAATACAAAATACCGGCTGTGGACGCCTGTAATCCAGGTAGCAGGTGAGGCAGAGAATGCTGAACCGAGGCGGAAGTTGCAGTGAGCGAGATGGGCATGCATCCAGGGGACAGAGCAAGACTCCGTCTCAAAAAAAAAAAAAAAAAAAGGTTGAAATCACTGAGGAGAACCTAGAGTTCTCTCTCTCAGTCTGTTTTTGCTTCTCATAGCAATTCAATGTAGTTTAATCTCTTTGCGTCCAGTGCAACAGAATAGAAAAATAAACACTACCAATAGCTCAAAGCTGGCATTCTATCATATGGCAGTGCATTCAGAGATTCGTTTGAATGGGAGCATTCTGATTGGCCCAGCTTATGTAAGATGTCTTCTTTGGGGCCAATCAGCTGTGGCCGGATGACAGGGCTATGTCTTATGAGTGTAAGTTCTTCACATTGCAAGCGCTGGTTGGGTCTGCAGATAGTTCCTAGAAAAATTTGCAAGGAATTTGGGGTTAGGTAAAACAACATGTTTATACCAACACAGCACCAATGAGGCAACGTTACAAGACGTAGGACTGGGATAGTCTCACACAAATTTCTATTTTCTTGGCTTTCATTTTCTTAAAAGACAAAAGTCAACTGAGCTTCCTTACACATACCAACTCATTATGACAATCTAGGTCATACGGAGGTTACTTCAAGCATAGCTCATTTATTCAACAAGCACAGATTGAACACTTAGCCATGTTCCAGATATAGCTTTGTGTTGGTTTCCCTGCAAACCTACTGAAATTGAAAATTAAAATACACTTAAAGAGCTGCGTGGTAACGGGACGCAATTTTTCCTCAAACTTCACGATGGAAAAACAAAATCCTCATAGTCTAACGTCACTTGGAACTGAAAGATAGGTGATTCAGGGATAATAATTACCAGGCTTTCTCTTCAGCATGTGTTCGGCCTCTATTGCTGTTATTTCAGAAACCGTGGTGAACACATGAGCGCAATGAACGGAGGCTCGCTCCATGCAGTACCGGTGGTAAATCTGCCTTTCCCCAGCCTCTTTGTCTATGTTAAACTGTTAGAAACAAAAATAAAACACACATTTGCTAACACTAGCCCTTCTACACAAGCAAAACAAAATCACACGTTTCACCAATTGGCTTTCCTCAAGGCTATGTAAAATTTTATGACCACACAAAAGTAATAAAAGCTTGAATTAAACCCATTACTACAACACACACAAGAACTTACACTTTAAAAGACATTGTTTACTCCATTTCTCCTTCCAAACTGCTGTTTAACTCCCTAAGTAAATGATGCTTCTACCTTGCTGTAATCACATAGAATTCTTGAATTTTTGACATTTTAATTACACTTTTACTTATTCTACATCTTGGAATACTGAGCTAATGCCCTTCTCCAAAGTCTTTTATGCATTTTCCCATAAACAGTGAAACAAAGTTGACATTAAACTTGACATTGAAAATAAGAATAATTATTGTAATGCTTAATTCACTGGAAGAGAACCTGAGAAAGAGAAAGACAAATGCTTTTCCTTGGTTATAGATCTTCCCCTTTATAATTGCAAAAAGTGTATAGTTACTCTAGTTAGATATTGTGCTAGATTATGCAATTATCTATACTTCCAGGTAGTTTAACTTTAAAAAAGTCAAATTCCCAACAATCACTTAAATAATCGGCAACTGTTGTGGGCTTTTGCCATTGCACTTAGTTACTGAATGTAATGTTTCACATAGCTGCATATGAAACTAGCAGTGTCTAAGACAAAAAGAATATGTAAAGTTTCTGACATTATGTAAGTAGGGTGCTTTTCATAATGGAGATTGTTAGTAGCTCTTCAGCACTAGTGTCAGGCACTCCACTAAGCACAATGACATATTTAATCTTTGTAAACTACTGAGACACATATTTTGTCTTCATTTTATGGAGAAGGAAATTGAAACTTTTAGAGGTCAAGAAACTTGCCGAAGGTCACATTGCTATTAAGAATCTTAGTAGAACCCTAATTTGATCCCTAATCAGCCTGACTGATGAATGAATACAATCTTGTATTCATCTGTTTATATATCATTTAGACTTCAACTCTATCAACAAGTTAGTCCCAATAATTATGGCATCATAGAGAGAAAAATACTGAAAAGAGACCCATTAGAGGAATCTCATAATTAGAACAAGAAAACTTCTAGAACATTCTTTCATGACTGTAATATTTGGAATCATCTCTCTGAAAATGTTTGAATCAGGTTGTTTATGACATGCTTGGATTAGCAGAAGTTTTCTTAAAAGCTCTATGTGTCCGGTCTAATTCATGAAACCAAATCTCTCATTTAATCAACTTTTGTGAGCAATTTATGTGTATCTATTACCTTTAAGAAACTTATAAATTAATGGAAAATGGGTTTAAAAAACAGGTAGAAATGAAATGAGTATGTGTCTGAATAAGTTACAGGATCAGAGCAGCACTGATTCACTCTGGCTGAAGGTAGGCAAAAGTATCTCATACTACGCAATAAGTGTAGTCAGCATCAACCCTACAAATGTAAGACTTTCAAGTGCAAAGACGAAGACTTACTCATCTTTGTATTTCCAAACTGGTTGGATGAATAAAATGGCATTTGGACCAGGACATGAAAGTTTAATTCTGGGAAAGTTATTTTTAGCTGAAATGCTAGCCGCCCTAAAGAACAAGTATAGAAAATGCTATGGCATGTGCAGAAAATAGCAGCACATCTGATGTGACTGTAGCATTGGATGTAGAATGTAAGAGACAGAGGCTGGTCAGATACAATAGGGCCAGATCACTGAAATCCCTGAAGATGAGCTTAGGAATTTTGCCTTTGTCCTATAAACAAGAAAAGCCACTCTGAACGTGTTGTTTAGAGGTGTGGTGAAGACAGAGTTGATGTTTAAGAAAAATAACTCTGGAAAGAAGTAAAGAATGTTTTCTATCCCGTTGAGTATTTTGTGAATTTCAAATGAGATAACAAATGTCAAATGTTTAGAAAAGTGCCTGGAATATGGAAAGTGCTCAATACATTTAGCCATTGTTCTTATTAATTATTATTATTGTTGTAGAGAATCACATGTCACAGATAAGACAGCATTTAACATTTGGGCATTTAGAGATGGAAAGATAGATTTTCTAAATGAGCAGGCTGAGTATGCACAAATACAGTGGCAGGATAGCAGGAGCCTGGAAACCCTGTGAGAGGCCTTGGGGAAGTCAGGCAGGTGTGCATGCTTCTGCCTTTCCCTCCTCCCATGGGGCACCCTTATCTTTTAGGTCTGTAGTAAGCGTGGCCACACCTGTGGCTTTACAGAAACCCTATCCGTTTACACATGTTGTCCACTCTTTATGATTGTATCTTAAAATCTCTGTACAATAATTCCAACATAGGACATATCTGGACCTGGTCTTTTTGACAATGGGTTTTTACTTTCTTGCATTTTAATATATCTCATAATTTTTTATTGAATACTGGATAATGTGTATAGAAAAACAAAAAAAGGGTAAAGTACATATTAATCAATAAAACACAGTCCAGTGACACAGTGGGTAACCCTATAATTGAAGCTGACTAGCTCAAAACTTGATCAGAAGAAAGAGTTTAAATCCACCAAATAATTGTCCATGGCTTCCTTCCCCATTTTCCAATCCCAAATGGCATTGTCCTCAGATTTCCATCTAGGAAATTCTATTACAATTAAGAAAAAAAAAAAAAAAAAGGCCAGGCGTGGTGGCTCATGCCTGTAATCCCAGCACTTTGGGAGGCTGAGGCAGGCAGATCATGAGGTCAGGAGATCAAGACCATCCTGGCCAACACGGTGAAACCACGTCTCTACAAAAAACACAAAAATTAGCCGGGCGTGGTGGCAGGTGCCTGTAGTCCCAGCTACTCAGGAGGTTGAGGCAGGGGAATTGCTTGAACCCGGGAGGAGGAGGTTGCAGTGAGCCAAGATCCCATCAGTGCACTTCAGCCTTGCAACAGAGCAAGACTCCGTCTCAAAAAACAAATAAACAAACAAACAACAACAACAACAACAACAAACCCATAAGAAAACTAAAGGCTTTAGGGAATAAAAAGCATTTATTATGTAGCCATTAGAGTCGAGGGGATAATTGATCAATGACTGGACTTTAAAAAACGAGTTTGAGGGCCGGGCGCGGTGGCTCACGCCTGTAATCCCAGCACTTTGGGAGGCCGAGGCGGGCGGATCACAAGGTCAGGAGATCGAGACCACGGTGAAACCCGTCTACTAAAAAAAAAATAGCGGGGGGGGGGCGTGTAGCGCTCGGAGGGGCGGAGGGCGGACCCGGGGCGGAGCTTGCTGAGCGGATTGCCCTCATCGGGCGACAAGCGATGTCTCAAAAAAAACCGGGAGGGGGCTGCGAACCAGATTGGAGCAACAAAGAAACACGTGAAACCGTTCTACAAAAATACAAAAAATTAGCCGGGCGCGGTGGCGGGCGCCTGTAGTCCAGCTACTCAGGAGGCTGAGGCAGGAGAATGGCGTGAACCCGGGAGGCGGAGCTTGCAGTGAGCCGAGATTGCCCACTGCACTCCAGCCTGGGCGACAGAGCAGACTGTCTCAAAAAAAAAAAAAAAAAAAAAAACGAGTTTGGAGGCCGAGCATGGTGGCTCATGCCTGTAATCCCAGCACTTTGGGAGGCCGAGGCGGGCGGATCATGAGTTCAGGAGATCGAGACCATCCTGGCTAACACGGTGAAACCCCGTCTCTACTAAAAATACAAAAACTTAGGCGTGGTGGCGGGCACCTGTATTCCCAGCTACTCGGGAGGCTGAGGCAGGAGAATGGCTTGAACCCGGGAGGCGGAGCTTGCAGTGAGCCGAGATCGCGCCACTGCACTCCAGCCTGGGCGACAGAGTGAGACTCTGTCTCAAAAAATAATAATAATAAATGAGTTTGGAGACATATTCTTAGAGGTTCTCAGAAATTTCATATGCTGGCTGAAAATGGTTAAAATGTTATTTTAAATAATGAATTTTACTAAAAACTTAAACCAGCATTAGAGTTTTTGTAATTGGCTTCTAACAAGAATTGTTTTCAGTTAGCAGTAATTTGAGGAAAATAGCTCTAATCTTTCTGATTTCACAAAAGTTTAATTATCTTATTCTTGTTCTCATACTTACCCTATTTTTATTTAATAAATACCCTATTTATTAAAACTGAAACTGATTCTGGTTCCTGCATCAAAGATTAAACTATGATTTATTCCTTATACTGAATTTTTAAAAACCTTTCACGTGTATAATTTGGTATTCTTATTTCTTTATTCTAAACTTTGTGTGAGCATGGGGGCTTCTGTTGTGAAAAATGATTACGAACTTAATCCAAAAGCTAGTTGTTGACTGCTTGTGGTCTTCTAGTCATTTTGCTAGATAGAACATTTTACTGGAAAGACGGGCAGGGTCTGACTAAACTTAAATATCTCAACCAGTGAGGGGCTTTAAACTAGAGACATATGTCATTATATCTGAAGGAAGTGTGATAAATACGGCCCTTTCCTCAAAAGGGTAAAGTTGTAATATGTAACTATATGCTATAATGTGTTTCTTCCTTAAAACCAAATAAGAATATCCTATGTATATTATTAGTAGCTTTTTAAATTATTTATTACTATATAAGATTCAAGAATTCCGAAGTGGGCCGGGCGCGGTGGCTCAGCCTGTAATCCCAGCACTTTGGGAGGCCGAGACGGGCGGATCACCAGGTCAGGAGATCGAGACCATCCTGGCTAACACGGTGAAACCCCGTCTCTACTGAAAAATACAAAAAACTAGCCGGGCGAGGTGGCGGGCGCCTGTAGTCCCAGCTACTCGGGAGGCTGAGGCAGGAGAATGGCGTAAACCCGGGAGGCGGAGCTTACAGTGAGCTGAGATCCGGCCACCGCACTCCAGCCTGGGCGACAGAGCCAGACTCCATCTCAAAAAAAAAAAAAAAAAAAAAAAAATTAATTCTGAAGTGAAATACTCAATCTGCCACTCTGATATTTTCTCTTTCACTGAAGTCAAAGTGCACTCCTCTCCAGGAAGCATGCTTGTTCATCTTATCAGCTTAGCACAGATGACTGGTTTGCCCTTATTAGTCCACCATTACTATGTGCCGCTAAGAACCTCCTACATCCCCAAGCTTTCTGAAATCCTTGGTGACTTTATTTTAAATGTACAGCTTATGTTTCTAGTTTGGCCTTTAGATTAGGCTGACCTTTTCATAGGGATGGACTCATCAGGACCACTCATTGCTTTACAGATGTTAAAAGTTTTTCAGAAAGAGCTTTTTTTGCACTCTGTCTTTGAGACAGTAGTATAACTTTTCAGTAGCATTATCTGAGTATTATTTATGTATCACACACACATACACATTCTGTTTTATAGAATCCTAGAACTCTTTAAGCTGGGAAAGTTTTAAAAATCAACTTTCTAACTTCCTAATTTTCCTGATAATGAAACCGAACCCTAAAGTGCTAAATAGATTTGATAATACAGATACCAAATCTGCAAAACCTCTGAATTTATATTCCTCAAATGCTTTGTTAATATTATTAACATGCTGATATAAAATACATACTTTCATTAATCTAAATTGACATATAAAAAATAGAAGAAATAAATCAAAACTGAATGACTTTGGCAGGTCATAGAATCAGGTAACCTGCTAAGATTAGCAAAAATAACTTGTTGTTCACCGAGGACCCATATCCCTGTTTGCAATAACTTCTGTTTTACTTGATCCCACAAAAATGCCCCCTGTGCATTGTGAAGTTACAGGGAAAATTGAACCTATCAACCTATAATGTGGCTTTTAATCAATTGTTTACCTAGAGGATAGAAGAAATAGAGGAAGTAAGTCTCACAGTGCAAGTTTGTATGTCTCAAATCCCAGTTCTCTACCTGCCACTCAGAGCTGTGTGTGGATCCAGGGTGTTCACAGCACTTCCATAGCCTTTGGCTAGAACGAGGGCCCAACCCTGGGCCGACACCATGTCTTTACTCCTACCATATCCCTCTGGAACTATTGTTCCACAGCGGGACAGAAATCAGGCCTCTCACCTCTATACTCTAGTGTACTCTGAACAAAGTTGAGCTATATGAGCTGTCTGTCAACCCAAGGGAAGCTTTGTCATGAATATTGATTAGCTAAAAGGGCATTTCTGCCATCTGGTGGGCAGATGAAATGTACAGATCAATACTTATCTTTCAGCTTCAGCAATCTGAAAGAAGGGTGAGTAAGAAGGAAGGAGGAAGGAATATTTACCTTATCAAGATGGTTGTAGAAATCAATATTTGCTGCACAGAGATACCTCCCGAGTAGTGTAGCGTGGGTTGTAAATATTGTGGCAATAGGAAGTTTCCTGGCTCGAGAAAGGATCAGTCCAATTCCAGCCTGCCATTCATGGAATTGGGCAACGACATGTTTATCATCTGCGTGATCTGTCACCTACATTAGAAAAAAAAAAGCATTCAGAAAAGTTGTTGATGAAGCTTGATTGTGATCATGGTCCACATTATAAGTGGAGTTATGGTGTCTATAAAATATTTTACAATTTAAAGGAATCTAAACATAGAGCATGAATATTTAGCAGGAATAAGTACAGGATGCAGTGGCATGTTCATTAACCCCATATATTTTTATATCTTAATCCTCTCTTTCAGTGATGGAGCAGATTTTTTGTATCCACAGAAGAATAAATACTAATATTAATGACAGGAAATGAATATTAAGAAATAAATGGAATAAATGCAAAGTAGGCACTCAAAAAATATTTATTGACTGGATGAATAAATAAATTCTTAAAGATATCACTGAACAGCTGAATCAATTGGGACTACTCACTTACAAGTTTACTTTTTAAAAACTACTTGAATTTTTTTTAATTGACTAGACTTGTATTTATTTATTGTGTACATTCTGATGTTTGCTGAAGGAATGGCCAGGAAGAGACTTATATAAAAATATAAAAATGCCTTCTTTATTTGTAGTGGCCCAGTTATGGAAAAGCAAATGTTGCTTAAAACTACATAGCAATCATAATGAAAAAAATGCATATGAAGAAAAAGTGACTTTTACAATATCATTTTTTTCTAATAAATAGTACTTGGATTCTCGATGACTTGAAAACTCTAAAAGCCTGCAATGATTTTCATGTGTGTATTTGCATATTTGATTTTGAGAAACAAAGATAAAATGCCATTACATCATTTTAGAATAAATAATAAACGATTTCATGTTTTGAATTTATCTTATTTGGGTTTTCTTTTTCTTGAAGGCAACAAAATTTAACTGATATATTATTAAGAATATGGAATTAGAGAGAAAGAGGCTAATAAAAAACATGCCTTAAATCAAATCGCACCTTTGCAACACACTGAAGATCGGGGTATAATTCCACCCCAGGGTCTAGTTCCAAATCAGGTGGGCATCCGTCTCTTTGCCTTACAAAGAGACAGTTTATTTTGTTTGCCCTTACAAAATATTAACATTCACACTGACTCCGCTGTGAGAATTCATTTCCTTAATAGAGAAAAGAGCAAAACACCAGCATTCAAGAAGGCTGAGCAGAGAATTGGGAAATTTGGAGCGTTAACTTAAAACAGTGGTTATCACATGTAGTGTACATCAGGATCACTTGGAGAGCTTATTAAACAAATAGCTTCTTAAGCTATTTGCTACTCTTAGGATTCTATACTTCATGTTTTTCTTGCATGTATATTAAGTATCATCTATATATCGGGCAATATAATTGGGTGTTTGACACACATCATGCCATTTAAATTTGACATGAGGTAAATAGTAATAAGTATCATTATTACACTGTTCCAAAGGCTGGCATTTAATTTCCAGAATGCTCAACATTTTCTCAGATTTCTTTCAATTGTATTAGGACAAGCCATAATGGCATCATCTCAAAATTTCCTTCATTTAAAGATCATGGGATCATTTTTAGGCACTGAAAGCAGTTGTGCTGTTCCTCTGTTGTATCACTATATAATAAACCATACCTCTTTTAAGAACCAGGCAGTTAAAGATCCAAATATCAGCATATCATTGGCTTCTCGGTCATGATAAGGAATGCCGACACTGCATGCTTCCCAGAGGTCACCCTTCCACCTATCCAGATTCCAAGCTGAAAAGCCTATGTCAAAAAGTACCACATAAGGACTTCCTTCTATCAGCCATCTTCCAAAATGCACCTGTCATATAAAGAACACATAGCCATGTATGATATTAAGTCATGCAAGACAGGACAATGTATTTGCACTCTGAGGATATAAACTTTATGTAGTACTCAATGGCAGATTAAACAAGCTACTTAGAAAAGAATACTGATAACATATAGCCTTTGCTGTTTGAGCCTCAAGCTGGAATGGGCATAAATCCATTCTTCTAGAATCTCCAAATTCTTGCTCTTCATTAAATTTAAAAACAATGTATCTAGATCATGTAATCTCTGTTCATCTGTCTTTAGTTACTTGCTTGTGACCTTGAACTCATAGGGTTTAATATTACAGTCTCTGCTTTTATGACAGAGCAATGAAATGCTTTGTATCTCTGAAAACCTGGGTAGTTGGATATAATGGCTCCAGTGTCACTTATTTTCTTTTATGGAACAGGACTAACAATATTTCTTGCTAGAAGAAAAAGCTATTTCTGTAGACCAATATGTATGATTTATCTGGCTATTCCTATCAAAAAAAAAAGTGATGCAAAATGTTTCCCAATATGGCTGCCGTCAGAGGTTTAACTAAACACATTGCCCTAGATACATTATCTCTTTAATCTAGCAGCTCAAAGTATAATTCTATTACAATCTTCAAATTGACGTTGATTCCTCAATGTTTTATCTTCTGCAAGTTTTAATGGATTAGTGCTCTCATTTTTTTCCCAATTGTGTGTATATCATCACTTGAATATCCAAGTTTTAACTCCCTTTTTTGTCTCCATATTTCTACAGCAATTTACTTGTTCTTTTGTCTTAATTTTTATTTTATGTTTATTCTCCTATTACATGATACACAACCTCATAAACCACTTCAAACCCTTTCTGGAACTCAGCAGAGGCTAAGAGTCTCTTTGAATGTGGATCCAGGCTTCTCTAGAAAATAAAATATATGGCTGGGCGCGGTGGCTCAAGCCTGTAATCCCAGCACTTTGGGAGGCCGAGGCGGGCGGATCACAAGGTCAGGAGATCGAGACCACAGTGAAACCCCGTCTCTACTAAAAATACAAAAAATTAGCCGGGCGCAGTGGCGGGCGCCTGTAGTCCCAGCTACTCAGGAGGCTGAGGCAGGAGAATGGCGGGAACCCGGGAGGCGGAGCTTGCAGTGAGCCGAGATCGCGCCACTGCACTCCAGCCTGGGCAACAGCGTGAGACTCCGTCTCAAAAAAAAAAAATAAATAAATAAATAAATAAATAAAATAAAATAAAATATATTCATATCGCTTACATGTTGGCACTTATGACTCCACCCATGGCTGAATTTTGCAGGACTTCAAAGCCCAATTTGATCATTTCCTACCAGGGGACCCAGACATGTGTGGGGATGCTTCTCACCCATCTGTTCCTTGGTCAACCTTGAAAGACCCTCATTATGTTTCAGTTGTTTCCTTTATAATTCAGTGTTTATCATGCCACTGTTTCCTTTTAAGATGAAATTTTCCTGAGCCCCAAACAACTTTTCAATAGTTTTTCTCCTCGGGAAATTCATTGCTTCATGTATTTTAACACTGTGAATAACATGTAATATTACTATATAATGTTTACTGACTGCCTAATATGTGTCACATGATACGTAAGCTAAGATTATAAAGAAGAGCTGACACTATCACACAAATAGAGAATGTAAGCCAATTGGTACTGACCTCCAGTCAGTTCTTGGCTGCAACATGAAAATATCCCTACACTAGGAGGCCATGTAGTCTTGAGACCAGTCAGTTCCACTGTGTTTCTCATCTACCTCCTCCTTTACAGGAACTTCAAATGCAAGCCCCTTCTAATATCTCCTTTATTTGCATCCTGATAGTACGATAGGCATTGTTCTATCACATTTCTAACATTCTCTATGCTGCCTTCACTAAGAAATGTTTTCCGGTACTCTTTGGGATCTCACGTTCCCTTGTAAATTATACATTCCACTCCTTAAACCTTGCGTGCACCTCCTAGACACCACTACCCACACAGCATCTCAAGTGAAGACTTCACATTTTTTCACCCCCAGAAACTATATTCCTGGGATGAGTAGGAAGGAAAGTTACTGATTTTTAAAATTCTACTGAAACTTTTAAAGCCTTATTCTTTATTTACACATAAAACACCTTTGAAATGTATGCTATCCAAAAATATTACCTTTCCTTGCTCAGCAAAGATAAGGTTACTTTTTGACCTTATCCTAAGCAACTTCAAAGGCCATATTTTTTATCCTGCACACTTAACCTCATGGTTACTTGACCTTATGGACTTAAAAGACTTTCACGTCAATCTGCTTTCAGCTACTCAAGATCATGACTGCATTCTTTCCTTGTCAAATCCCAAATTGTTTCTTCTCTAAAATATTCCACTTCGGCATTCTGCTACCCAGTTAGAACTCTTGTACTTCCATTTCTGTCACTCTGTTTCTGCCAGTGTATATATTCTTTCTTTCTCCCCTTTAAGATCTCCGGTTCCCATAACCCTCCATTTTGTCCTACATTACCATCTTCTTTCTGGCTTTGCTTACTTTCCTGTCTATTCCTTATTTAATTCCTTCCTTTTCTATATATTCTAATGCAATGGCCCATCAATTAAACTATTAATTCAGTCACTTTCACAATTACCTTCTATTCTTGGGCTACGTTGACCCACTGTATGAATGGTGAAATTAAACAACATTGGATCTTCATCTATTCTACTTCCTGCACCGTCACTCAGACTGCAGATCTCTCCTGGACTAAGTCAGACACGTGTGTATTTGTGCCACTATAAAGTCATGACTACATCTCAAACATGTCCAAAAATTCCTTGAACACTTTTTCAGAACTTCTTTCTTGAACTTCCCTAGTTTCTACATTTGCCTCTTAATTCTCATAAAATGACCTTTAACACCTGCTTCAGTAAGATCATCAAAAACATTGGGTAAGATTGGCCTGAATTCTTCATTAACTTGTATCTAGTATTTGCAGATATCCTTGTTTCCTGTTTGAGTGAGACAAGTGAAAAATGATTCTTTCAGTATTGCTTTGGATCTTGTTCCCTTCCCCATTCTCAGTGACTTTACTCTCTTCAATCTTCCATTTATTCTGAGCTTTTAGCTTTTCTCTGTCTGCTAGGTATTTCCCTTTTGCAAATAAACATGCTCAGGTCTTACCCATATTTAATACCACACCAATTCTCAAAACCATGTCATTCTGCAACTACTTTATTATATTTTATCTTCATAGAAAAATCTCATAATCACAACTTCTGTATCTTTTTTCTTACCACTTGTTTATTCTTTAACCCATTGAAATGAGATTTAACCTTCCTTTCTCTTCTGAAACTGTACTTACCTATGTTACAAATGGCCCAAATATTACCAAACCCAGCAGACCCTGGATCAATCCTTTGTTGACTTAATCCCTTCTTCATACTTAAAATTCTCTCCTCCCTTGATTTGATATCACAATTCCTATTGTAGCTGTAACAAATTACCAGAAGCCTAGTGGCTTAAAACAAATTTATTATCTTACAGATATTGAAGTCAGTCGTTCAAAATAGACTAAAGTCAGTGTATTGATAGAGCCACATTCCAGGTGTAGTCTCCAAGGAAGAATCTATTTTCTTACTTCTTTTTTTTTTGGAGATGAAGTTTCACTCTTGTTGCCCAGGCTGGTGTGCAATGGTACAATCTCGGCTCATTGCAACTTCTGCCTCCTGGGTTCAAGTGATTCTCCTGCCTCAGCCTCCCAAGTAGCTGGGATTACAGATGTCTGCCACCACACCCGGCTAATTTTGTATATTTAGTAGAGACAGGGGTTTCACCATGTTGACCAGGCTGGTCTTGAACTTCTGACTTCAGGTGATCCATCCGCCTTGGCCTCCCAAAGTGCTGGGATTACAGGCATGAGCCACCATGCCTGGCCGCCTTTTCTTACTTCTATAGGCCACCTATATTCCTTGTGGCCTCTTCCTCCATCTACAAAGTAGCGCCCTTCAACCTCTGCTTTCATTGTCACATCTCCTGCCTGATTCTAATTCTACAGCCTCCCTCTTATGAGGACCCTTATGTTTACTTTGGGCCCACCTAGATAATTCAGGATTATCTCCCCTTCTCAAAATCTCTAAGTTAATCACATCTGCAATATTCCATTTGCTATAAAAGGTAACATATTCACAGCTTCTGAGGATTAAGACGTGAACATCCTTGGTTCTACATCATTAGCTTTGCTTCTACATTTGCAATATCTAGCTTCTTTTAATGTAGATGCCCTAACATGCTGACATTCCACAAGGGTTGGTTGAAAACCTTTGCTCCATGTCTAAACATTTCCACGGAATAATTTTAACAACACTCCTGACTTCAGTTTATGTACAAATGACTTCCTCAAAAACATGTTTACACTATAGCTTCTGCTGAACTCCAAACCACTTATCCTTCCTCCTTGGTTTTCACAAGGTGTCTCAAATGCAATCCATTTAAAAGGAAGTTCATTATCTTTCTCACAAACCTACTATTTTTCTCTAAGTAGGTGAATGGTCTTCTCTTGTGAGTTCATGTTAATTGCAGTCTTTTTTCCCATAAGTTTACTGAGAATTGCCAAGTAAAGTGTCAGTTCCTTTACCTGGCAGCCATGCTTATTCATTGCATCCACTGCTCTTCTGACAGCATCATTTACAGGTTCACATTGTTCCACCTGAGTCTTCATATTATGCTCAAAATATGGACCTATCAGAAAATAGTTGTCTCCCCATTCATCTGCTGTTGTTTTGGCCTTTGTCTGAATCACAGTATAGATGCCTCCAACTGTTAAAAGGAAAAAAGTTTCCATTATCATCCAGGTTAGCGATTCATTCAAAGTGAAAAGGGATGAAAATGAGTTCAGATTTTTAAATTAGCATTTAGGATCCACTAAGCCCAAGGATTTATTTACCTTTCAAAAAGAATAGTGTTTAACATATTGTTAAGGGACACCAACGAACGGTTACTGCTTTGTTCAATTCTGTGCGTATTTTAAAGTCCCTTCCAGGTACATGTGAAAGAACAGCAGGCTGGCAGCAGCAAAGAGGTAAAATACTTCAAAAAAAAGTCTGAAAAGACAATTGTAGCAAAACACTAACTTGCTTAAAGCTCCAGTCACTTTGTAGTGTCAAAGTTAGGACAAATACCCATTGTCATCATACATGCCTTCAGCATCAGAAATCACTTTCACCTCTCTTCCTCCTTCTCCGACAGTGGTCCAGAAGGGGCTCAGGCATGTTCAAATAACAGCTGCTGTGGTTTTCAATTATGAGGAAATCTCCTAAGCTAAATAGTCATTTATCTTTTAAAGCACCAACTAAGGTACCTTTTGATAAGGAGAAAGTGCTTATAGATGTTCATAGAAGATGCTTGGTCCAACCCTGATGTCAAATCCAATAACACAGATACATATTTCATTCTCACATGGTATTTCTCCCTTCCTAGTAAGGGAGGAGACCACCCCTCATATTGTCTTATGCCCAATTTCTGCCTCCAAAGAAAGAAGTAAAAACTAAAAGGCAGAAATGAAATTCACAGGCAGACAGCCTGGCGCCGCACCCCGGGCCTGGTTAAAGATCGAACCCATACCTAATCGGTTATATTATCTATAGATTCCAGACATTGTATGGAAAAGCATTGTGAAAATCCCCGTCCTGCTCTGTTCCACTCTGATTACCGGTGCATGCAGCCCCCAGTCATGTACCCCCTTAGAGTTGTAAGCCCTTAAAAGGGACAGGAATTGCTCACTCGGAGAGCTCAGTTGTTGGAGATGTGAGTCTTGCCAAAGCTCCCAGACTAATAAAGCCCTTCCTTCTTTAACTCGGTGTCTGAGGGGTTTAGTCTGCAGCTTGTCCTGCTACACTAGAATCATTGCTTAATTCTCCCCTCTGATATTGCTGCTACCTCTATTAAAACACAAAGCCAGAAAATATGGATACATTTGGAAAATATGCACACCCTTGGATCCAGCAAGTCCACATATAGAAAATTGACCTGGGGGAAAATTAAGGAGAGTGTGAAAAGGATGTTTACTGAAGCATTATAATGGCAAAAAATTAGAAACAACTTATATTGAACTAGTCAACTTACTTAACTGATAGAAGTCTCAATTAGCTCATGTGTCAAATGGGGGTAAAATAATATTTAGCTTGGAGGGAAAGACAGGCTCTAAAAGAGGATTAAAAATTAGACCTGGCCTAGGCAACAAATTTATGAGCAAGTCCTCAAAAATAAACACAACAAAAGCAAAAATAGACAAATGGGACTTAATTAAACTAAAATGCTTCTGCACCACAAAAGACCGAATCCACAGAGTAATCTATATCTATATATATGTCTATGTCTGTCTCTATCTATCTATCTACCTACTACCTATGTTTCTCCTATTTGTTCTGTCTCTCTAGAGAACCCTGACAAATACAGTGAGCTCAGGTCCTGAGCAGACATTTTCCAAAAGAAGACATACAAGTGGCAAATAAATGTGAAAAAAAAATGCTCATCATCACTAATAATCATAGAATGCAAATTAAAACCACCATGTGATACCTCCTTATGCCAGTCAGAATGGCTATCATTATAAAGTTTAAAAACAGCAGATGTTGGTGAGGATGTGAAGATAAGAAAATGCTTATACACTGTTGGTAAGAATGTAAATTAGTACAAACGTTATGAAAGACAGTATGAAGATTTCTGAAAGAACTAGAAACAGAACTACCATTCGATCCAGCAATCCTGCTACTGGGTATGGACCCAAAGTGAAAGAAATCATATTTAAAAAGATATCTGCATTAGTATGTTCAAAGTAGCACTGTTTCCAATAGCAAAGATGTGGAATCAACCTAAATGTCTATCAATGGATGATTGGATAAAGAAAATGTGGTGTATATGTGTGTATTTATATATGTATATATTAATATGTTAATATATATCTATTAGCCATAAAAAAGAATGAAATCATGTCTTTTGTAGAAACATGGATAGAACTGGAGGACATTACCTGCAGTGAAATAACTCAGAAACAGAAAGTCAAACACAGGATGTTCTCACTTAGTGAGAGCTAAGTGGGAGCTAAACGATGGGTACCCATAGACATATAGAATGAAATAATAGACACTTGAGACTAAAGAAAGATGGGAGGATAAGAGTACGGTGAGGATTGAAAAACTATGGATTGGACACAATGTTCACTTTTCAGGTGATGGTCCACTAAAAGTTCAGACTTCACCACTATGCAACATATGTATGTAAGAAACCTGATCTTATACCCTGATACAGCTTGGCTGTGTCCCCACCCAAATCTCATCTTGAATTGTAGTTCCCATAATCCTCACATGTTGTGGGAGGGATTTGGAGGGAGGTAACTGAATCATAGAAGAGGTTATGCTCATACTCTTCTCATGATAGTGAGTTCTCACAAGATCTGATGGTTTTATAAGGGGCTTTTCCCCCTTTTGCTTGGTACTTCTACTTGCTGCTGCCACATAAAGAAGGACATGTTTGTTTCTCCTTCTGCCATGATTGTAAGTTTCCCGAGGCCTCCCCAGCCCTGTGGAACAGTGAGCCAATTAAATGTTTTTCTTTATAAATTACCCAGTGTTGGGTATGTCTTTATAAACAGCATGATAATGAACTAGTACATACTTCCTAAATATATATAAATAAATTTTAAAAATATAAAATAAATTAGATCTGATTGGAAAGGCAAAAATTGAGCAAGTAAAATGTCATTCAATGGGGTAATTACAAAGGGTGAAGAAATTGGGCAAATGGATGTCATGAAGAGAAATTTTTAGGCAGAGGTAATGGTTAGAGCCCAGGCTCTAAACTGGAGTAGAGTGTGCAAGGAAAGAGTAATAGGATTAAAAAGGATAACCAGGTAGAAGGATATAGGGAGGGGTAAGGGGAGGAAGACCTCCAGTAAACTTAGGCAGGATATTTCCCGTGACAGCGCTAAACAATAATCACATGTGAGAATACACAAATTAGTCTGTCAATTACTTGAGCAATACTTTGTTCATGAGCTAGAGCAACGGAATGACTCAAGAAGTCCTTTGTGAAATCCTGGAGGTAATAAGATCCTGGCATCAATCTTCAACTCAATTGCAAAGAGCAATTTTATTACTTATATATTACTTCTCATTTTTCACTGCTGTCTTTCAAAACATATTCCAATTCATCAGACTACAGGTTTTGATAGCTACTATATTTCTTAAATGGATTATTCCAGTAACTTACACTTTACACAGTAAATCTTACCAATAGTCACAATCAGTGGTCACAAGGTAGAACGACATCTGGAGACATTACTTTAAGCCTGAGCCGTGCAAAATATACTTTTTGGAAAATTGCCCTTCGAAAGGTGAGACACAAAAGGCAAATGTTGATGCTATTATATGGTACCATAGGATTCATTAATTTACAAAAGAGAAGAGCTAAAGTAACTCCAAAATCCAAGCAATTTTCATATGAGTCTACACAAGCTAGTTGTCCTTAAGAATTTCATCTTTAAGGAAAAGTTTTTTACTGTATCAAAAAAAGTTTAAACTGTCATTGAGCAGAGTCTGATAATAAGGACACTATCAAACCACGGTTCAAATGCCACGTGATGAGGACAGAACAGAACACATGAGAAGGATATATAAAACTTGCAAGCAGAAACTTTTAGAGTGGACAAGAACAGACATGATGCACTTAACCATCCAACAATAAATCTAAGTTAACATAAATTGATGTTATCTACTACACCTAAGTATTTCCTCAAATTCCGGACGATTTTAGAAACCATCAAATTTATTCGTTGAGGAAAAATAAACTTAGCCGATTTACAAGGGCAACTAAAATGAAGAACTTTTCTTTAAAGTGTGGGAGTCACATCTTAGCAACATATTTAAATATATCTAAGCTTTCTTCAAAACCACTATCCACAAAAATGCAAAATTTCCAAAGAATTTATCCTTTTCTGTAGACTTATTTTCTTCATCTTCTCCAGGAGAATATACCATAAGTTTCTGATGGTACATGTTTATTAGATGTTTTATTTACATGCTTTATCCTTGAAAACTCTTTTTATTTGCAACTATGCATCTTGCTCAGAGATCTTAAAACATTCTTGTTTGCTAGATTATGTATTTCAAATTCATATACACTTTGGTAGATGCTAACACTTTTATTTACTAAAGAACATAAGGGGGAATAGAAATTCTTTATTTGAAGAAACAAATGATTTGATTTGGGAAATGAAATGAAAAGATAAACATAGTTAATTAATTTGCTACTTCTTTTACTCAGCTGAGGCCTTCAGATAGTTCCCCATATAGCCTTGGAGTGTGTAAACTATGATTATGCTCTCTCAGTCTATTAGAAATAAAAACATATAGCTTTAAAAATTTCAAGGGAAGGGGCTTCAAGATGACTGACTAAAGGCATCTGATACTCGCCTCCTCCACAAAGAACCAAAATAGTAAGTAGAAAATCCCACATAAGAGAGAATTCTGGAATTCAACAGAGAAGTGACAGGAAGCATCTAAGGCAATGAAGGGGAGGGAAGCAAGGAAGCCTACCCAGTAGGCTTCCTCTGTGAGGCCAGAGAGGCTCCCCAGTTCATGGAAAGGTAAGTGACTGACTCCCAGTGGTCCACATCTGCATTATGGACTCCAGCAATCCTAGCCACAGGAGAGTTCCTTGACCATGCAGGCCTTGAGACACACATAAGGAATTGCCCAGCAATCACACAAAGGCATTGCTCCAGAGAAGGAGATCTCACTGGGTCCTACCCCTGCCATCCC